GAGTTATTCTATGGGAAGTTTGGAGGGAATGAAATAGAAGAACTTTTGAGGGTGTCTCCCTTTCTTTGGACTGCTTGATTTATGCAATTAAATCGACAATTTGGTCATGGTTTTCAGTCACTAGGGAAAAAGGGGGGGGGGGGGAGTGACTAAGATCGATGTTTATTCAAACCTCATTAATCTTTTTCTGCTTGGAGGAAGGAGTTGTCGTCCCAAATCTTTCTGGACACCACCGTTGGCCGGTTCTTTGAAGCTTAATTTTGATGGTAGTTCCCAAGATAATCTACGTATTGCGGGTGTAGGTGGTGTGCTTAGAGATGAAGGAGGTAATGTCATATTCTCCTTTGCTGGTCCCATTGGTTGTGTCATTGCTAATAGGGCTAAACTACCATGGGTTAAAGATTTTCAAGGAGATGAATTGTGGGGATATTGTTTGGATTGAAGGTGACTCTTTGAATGTAGTCAAGTGGTGCAATAGGGAGCAGCGGGTGCCTTGGGAGCTTCGTTCACTTTGGCTAAGGGTCATGGACTTCTCTATCTCACACACACAATGTCTCTTTCTTATGTTTATTGTGAAGCTAATTCATTAGCTGATATATTGGCAAAAGGAGGGGAGGGGGGGGGGGGGGGGGGGGGGAGCTCTCTCACACATACAATGTCTCTTTCTCATGTTTATCGTGAAGCTAATTCATTAGCTGATATATTGGCAAAAGGAGGGAGGGGGGTTCCCTCTTTGGTTATATCTAATTCTGTAATTGTTTTTTAGAACTTAATAAAAGTATGAACATTTGTCTAAAAAAAAAAAATGAGAGAGAGAAACCACTTCCAATTTGTAACAAGAGAAAAAAAATTATCAAAAGGGAAAAATTTATATAGAGCTTAGGCTCTAAACAATCAAATTAGAGTCTACCTCAAAATTTTAACTAGAAGATGTTATTTTGATGCCTAAATATTATCAAATTGATCATCTCAATGTCAAGATGTAAGGACATAAGAAGAAAAAATAGAAAGTTTTAGAAATAGTACATCTTGTAATGCATTTTTAGACTATCAGTTTTCAAGATTTTCAAGTTTTCATAGATCTGCTCGATCTACACTATTTTTGAATCTTTAAATTTTATAACTAAAGATGAAAATATAATTTAAGGTTATCGCAAAACTTTCTAATATTGAAATTATATTTCTCGACAATATTTGAAGATGGGCTCTAATTTGATTGTTTAGAGCCTCGGCTTTATACAAACAAAACCCTTATCAAAACTATACTTTTTTTTTAGATTATTAAAAATAAACCCCAAATTTTTAAGCCTTCATTCATAGCTTGTTTCTCTACTCATTTCATTTTTATTTTTTTTAAATACTCTTCACGGAAGCCTTAGATCCATGAAGGCATCACCATCGACCCATAATTGTGATGGTCATGGCAAAAAAACCATGATGCTTTTAAAGTTTCAATATCCAAACAACCATCACAACGTTTAAAACGTCGTGATGGTCAAGGGAGGCATCACAATATTTTAAAAGTCGTGAGGTACAAAAAAAGCATAATGACACTCTATAAACCATGATGATTTTAAAGTTATAGTACGCTTATAGCCATCGCGGTATTTAAAATATCGTGATGGTCAAGGGAAGCATCACGATGTTTAAAAAGTTGGATTCTCTATAATCTCCAGTAACCCAACAACAATCATGGTGTTTGAAATTCCATTATGGTTCTAGGTCGACCGTGATGGCTCAAAATACCTAAGACTAATGTGAAGGGTAATTTTGTCAAAAAAATACAAGCAAAGGAAAAAATGCGCATGGATGAGGTTTTGAAAATTTTGAGGTCTATTTCTAACAATTTTAAATATATATATATATATATATATATATATATATTATGATTTCCCAATAAAAAATGAAATCTATGTAAATATCTTCTATATTCTCGAAATTTCAAAATATGTTTCTATATATTACATATCGGAAAGGTTTATATAGAGCCTAGGCTCTAAACAATCAAATTAGAGCCTACCTCAAAAATTTCACTAAAAGAGGCTGTTTTGATGCTCAAATATCCTGAAATTTATCATCTCGACATCAAGATGCATGGACTTGAGAAATAAATGGATTTCAAGTTTTGGAAATAGTGCATCTTGTAACGCATGTTTGGACTGTCAATTTTTAAGTTATTTAAGTTTTCATATATTTGCTCGATCTACACTATTTCTAAAGCTTTAAATCTTATAATCAAAGATGAAAATATATTTTAGGGCAAGTCAAAGATTTTCAGTATTAAAACCACATTTCTCGATACTATTTGAAAGTGGGTTCTAATTTGATTGTTTAGAGCCTTGGCTTTGTACAAACCGCACCCATTACATATTATGTTTAAATACTGTTCTTACGAATCGTGGGACTCCAAACTAGTCTCCTCAAAAATTTATTTTTTAGATGGATTTTGGACCTAGTTTTTAAGAAATATACAATTTATAACATGGGGATTGTCAATTCGTTAAAAATAAGATAAAATTTTAAATTTGGACATGATAATTTGTTTCATGATTATATTTAAACCATCGGTTTTAACTTTTATTTGGAGGGGTCAACCATGTACATCCATCTTTAAGGTATATGTTTTATGCCTTGGGGGATGCAAATGTAGGAATGCATCCCCCCGATGTATACAACAATTTTCCTTTATGTTTATGTCTCATTTGGAGCTCGTTTTGTTTTTATGTTTTTATTATATATTGGATTGAGTCCAATTTTTATGTGTCCATATTCTCGCACAAGTAATAAATAATAATTAAATAAAAGTATAAATAGTGAGAAATATGTACACTAATAACTTAAGCTCATTATGTTGTATACCATAATATATATTCCAGATACTACGTTATCATCACTTTCAACATAATCTGACTCATTCTAACTATTTGGTATCGGTTACACAAATCATGTTTTTGTCATTTTACTTTATCAAGGGGCACACTCCCATTCAAGCTATAAGTCAGCATTATCATTACTTTTGTAATTGTCCTCTTGGTCTTTTCCTTGTCTTTCTAGAATATTCCACTTGAACTAAATCACCCCAATATTGTTCTAGGCGGAATTGCACATAGTCATACCACCTAGACCTACTTTCCCTCGTCTTATTATCTATTGGAGTTATTTTTAAGTTTTTTCAGATGTAATCATTACAAATTTTATCATTTATTGTCTTACCACTCATTCATCTTAACATCCTCATCTCGGCTGCACTCATTGGATGAATATATTATTTTCTGATTGCCCAATATTCTATTCCATAAAACACAATTGATCTTATATCTGTAATATAGAACTTTCCATTTAGTTTCATTAGAGACCCCTTAAATTAAAGGGACCATTTAAACATCGGTGGTTCAACAAATCACAAAAAAAAGAGGAAGGCCAATCCATTAAACTACCATGCAAGCTAGTTACCTGTGTTGTGATCTTCAAGGACCTAGGTCTATCAGGGCTTTATAGACCTATTAGGTCTGTGAAGGAGCATACAAAAATAGGAATTAGAGTAGATTTGAACAAAAAAATAAAAGTTAATTTTGAATCAGTGAAATTTTTAAAGAACTGTATACTGCTGGACCATTTATTTTTGGTATATAGAAGTCACAATCTTTTTTAATAATTACATGTGAAATCTAGTGGATGTCTTCAACCGCTCGATTTCAAATCTAATAGTTAGTAATAATTATAACTTCCTTGTATCATTGTATACATTTATAGATTTAAGATCTAATAGATATATTTTTTACTTTTATGTAAACATAAGATTTATATGTTAAATACCCAAGGAAAGAAAATCACAAACCCTATTATTTTTTTAAAAAGAAAAAGTTAGTATAAAGATGAGGCCCTAAACGAATCAAATTAAGATGCATTTAAAAATTTTATTAGAAAATATTGTTTCGATGTCAAATTTTTTTCAAATCGATAATCTCGACTTTAAAATGTATGATATGAGAACAAACAGATTTTAGTTATTCGGAATAGTGCATTATGGAATATAATATATGGATCGTCAATTTTCAAGATTTTGAAGTGTTCATAGATATATGCTCGAATTATTTTTAAAGCTTTAAATTTTGTACTTAAATATAAAAATAATTTTTCGAACCATTACAATGATTTTTAATACTGAAACAATGTCTTCCGGAGCGCATTATTTTGATTATTTTGGGCGTGAGCCTCGTCCGTAAGAAACATAGACATCATAAAAAACGGAAATCCCGTTCATCGCGGGGCTTTTTGTGGTTGCGGCAAAAAGTAAGAAAAAAAAAAAAAAAGGCGCAAAAGGAATTATCATTCTTATATTCTCTCTCTAAATTATTATTTGTAAAATGGGAGCATTATTTTTATATTCTCTTTCTCTCTCTAAACTCTTATATGCAAAAATAAGAGCCCCCAACTCCCATTTTTATATTATGTTTCTCTCTCTAAAGCTTATTCTTAAATTGTATCCTGATTTTTTTTACAGGGTGCGGTTTGTATAGAGCCGAGGCTCTATACAATCGAAGTAAAGTGCAATTCAAATAGAGTTCAGAAATATAGTTTCAATACAAGAAATATTTGTGATAGCCTTAAAATATATTTTCATACTTAGTTATAAAATTTAAATTTTAAAAAATAGTGTAGATCAAGCAAATATATGAAAACTTAAAAATCTTGAAAATTGATGGTAAAAAAATACGTTAAAAAATACACTATTTTCAAATCTTGAAATCCATTTTTTTTCATGTCCATGCATCTTGATGTCAAGATGATCAATTTGAGGATATTTGGGCATCAAAACAACATTTTTAATGAAATGTTTGAGATAGGTTCTAATTTGATTATTTAGAGTCTCGCCTCTATACAAACTTTATCATTTTTTATATCCCCTCTCCAAAAAAAATTTCTTATTCTTTATCTAAAAACATTTTCCATATAAGAACCATAAATCATCCATGTGCCGCGAAAACCTAAGACCGAAGTAACAAAGGAGCGCCAAATAAATCTTCATTTTTCATTCTCTCTCTCTCTAAAAACTTTAAGGCGCGGGCTTGCTTTTGCTTTTCGCCTGTAATCCAAAAGAGAGCAACCCTCTCTCTCAAGTGAGTATATATATGCCATGCCAGCTTCCATATGGTAGAGGAATTTCTTTTATCATTGAAAGCCACCTGTAGCAAAGGGAAGGAGCAATGGAAAGCTTGATTCAGAGGCTCGAGGCCGCTGTTTCTCGCCTTGAAGCCGTTAATGGCGGATTCAGGCCTGCCTCTTTGCCTGAAACTTCTTCGGATTCAAAGACAGATCAAGCCATTGATGCTTACTCCGAGTTGATGGAGAAATCTCTCTCCAGGGTTTTGGCGTCTGCTCAAAAGATCGGTGGCCAAGTTCTGGATGCCACGAAGGTCCTTGAAGAAGCTTTCTCAGTTCAGAGGGGCCTCCTTATTCGGATTAAGCAGACTCAGGTGAGTTCAGTTCTGTTATTTTTTGGGAAATTTATCTTTCATTTGCGCTGAATTTATATAAAATTCGTGGAGTTGATTGTATTTGTAGGAACTAAGTAGAAAACGAGAGATTTCTCCTGAATTCATTAAATTAGATAAATTGTTATTTAGATATCGTTTTAGATGAATTATTGGTGTTATCCTATTTTAGAAGAACCGTAAGGAAAACTGTTGATGTATATGTTTTCTAACGTTTTTTTTTTCCTCGTTATTTTTGGTTTCTAATGTTTGTTGTTTAATCTTCTGATTAGATTTTAATGTGTAAGTATCATGCAATTGTTCCATCACGTTCACTGATTTTTGAGAGTTGAGTACAAACATTAGATAATTATATATGAATTTTAATCGAATGCATTGAGAAGAAAGAACAGGCCCTTCCAGCTCTTAATTTCCTGCAAGATTTACTTATTTTATTGAATCGAGCTCCAAATGGTTAATCTTTGATTATTAGCATTGATAGATGCAGGTTATTTTGGGCAGAGAAAAGCTCAATATCTCACTTGTTTCCAGATCTTGAGTGCTTATGTGTATATCTAGATGTAGCACATTTGGGAGTTGCATTAATGTGTAGGGATATTTTTTTATGGATTTTACAGGAATGAAAGAGGAAAATGGTTAGGTTTTTCCTGATTTTTAATAATATTCAATGTCGATTAGAAGATTGAATCCTTTCATCAGGTTGTGTGAATTTCCTTCAAATTTTTTATGGCATTTAATTATTTATAGATATTAGAGAATTGAACAGAAACAATTGGTTTATATGAAATTTGGTTTATATGAAACCCAGTGAACAATAGGGTCCAGAGGATTGTGCATATTCTGTTGAATTGAGCAGAAAATAGTGCATGTCCCTTGAATTATAGTGCTTAGCATTGACAAAAGCAGGTAGATTCTGGAAAGACCAAACTTCAACCCTTCATTTGTTTTCCTGATCTTCAGTGATTATATGTGTTAACTAGACAGTTTATTTGGGAGGCGCATTAGATTGATGGATATTTTGACATGGGCCACATCTAAGCTTGTTGTTGAGCTCTCTTTCTCTTCTTTGTGTCCTCCTCTCTTTTTTCAATTAAGAAAGCAATAAAGGGTATTTAGATGTCCATGCTTGCATTGTAACTTTTTTTAGTTAACTAATAAGGTTGTAGAAATCATAGATGCTTTTGTAGGCTGTTTTTGATTTGATGACAACCTGCATTTCATTTCATTTATTCTTCTTTATGCCTGATGTATTGTTATCAATTTATTTAGTTCTGTATATCTATGGTTTCAGATTCTTTTTATTGCTTATTGTGTAGAAGCATTTGCTATCATACGAGGTAGGGAAATTGGTAAAAGAAGAAAGTGACTGTCAATTAGAATTTGCCCAAGTATGCTTATGTGGGTATGGGTATATATGTGCCTCTGTCCCAAGTATGCTTATGTGGGTATGGATATATATGTGCCTGTGTGTGTGTGTGCGTTGTTTATAACAGTGTGCTGAGACACGGCTAAGGCAACTCGGACTCGTCCGAGTACCTTTGTACAACTGCTCAACTTAATAAAATGGGGCTATTTGCCCAAGAAATTAATAGAAGGGGGTATGACACCCTTATTTTGTCTCTGTCTCTCTCTCACTCTACCAGGCAGTGGGTTTCACTCACTCTCTCTCTCCAACCAACCGGGCATGCACTGTATCTCTGTCTCTCACTCTATGTCCCTCCTATCCCTCTCTCCCGCACTCTCTCCCTCTTTCTGTCCGTCTCTCTCCTTCACTATCTCCAAAAGGGGTACAAAATCTCTGCCCCTTTGTCATGGAGAAATGGAAAGTTGGAAATATATATATGTATTTGATTGTCTACAAAAGAGACCATTTATCTTTTGTACATGGAGGTCACAATCATTCCCACTCATTAGATGTCAAATTCGATGGCTTGGGTGAGTCACGAAGTCTGAGATTTTTTTTTTTTGGATCTTCGTGTCTATTCAATGATTTTTTTTTTTTATTTGCTGGAACTTCGTGTCTATTCAATGACACTCTTACAACCACCATTTTGAAATTTAAGGGACAAGAATAATTGTGACCTCCATGTACAAAAGATAAATGGTATATATATATATATATATAAGAGAGAGAGCTGGGCTGGTATGATGTGGAGAGAGAGTGAGAGATGGTGATTGGGTGGACAGAGAGTGAAAGAGAGATGCACTGTCTTAGGCAACCGTCCTTAGTATTTCACGACGCGAACAAATGAATTCATACCTTACATTTTTATTACAGTTATTTTGGTTAGCAAAATTTGATGTGGTTTATGCTTGTTTTGCAGAAACCAGATGTTTCAGCCTTGTCTGAATTTCTTAAGCCGTTAAACGAGGTGGTCATGAAAGCAAATGCTCTAACAGAAGGAAGGCGATCTGATTTCTTCAACCACTTAAAGACCATTGCTGACAGTCTCACAGCTTTGGCCTGGATTGCTTACTTGGGCAAAGACTGCGGTTAGAACACTTTTTGTTGTTTGATTTTATCTTAAAATTCAACTCATGTGATATATATGTACACCCTAAAATCCTAGCTCAAAATCCCTGAGAGAATTGCATTTATTTCCTTTTTCTTTGAAGGTCCAAGCCTTCCAGCTGCTCATGTTGAAGAGAGTTGGCAAATGGCTGAGTTCTACAACAATAAGGTAGCTTTAAGTTGGTTCATCTATTTAGGTTGACAATACAGAACAGTTCTTGAGAGACTTTTAATGACTCACCTGGTGTATAGGTTCTTGTAGCGTATAGAAACAAAGATGCAGATCATGTAGAGTGGGCAAAAGCTTTGAAAGAACTTTATCTTCCTGGTTTGAGGGACTATGTAAAAAGTTTCTACCCTCAAGGTCCTGTATGGGGTGTTACTGGAAGTGGAGGTCCTTCAACGTCAACACTTGCTTCTTCAAAACCTGTTCCATCAAGTGCTCCTGCTCCCCCTCCTCCACCACCCGCTTCTCTTTTCAGTGCTGAGTCCGCTAAGCCACCCTCGAAGCAGGGGATGGCTGCTGTTTTTCAAGAGATCAGTTCATCTGAGTCTGTTACTTCAGGTAATGACACTATATGGATGTTAACTTGAGTAGTTTCATTTTGGTTCTTTTACAGTTTGCTTGAAGTGGAATGAACTCTGTATAACTAAGCTTTTGCAGGTCTGAGGAAGGTTACAGACAACATGAAATCTAAGAACCGTGCTGATAGAACTGGTATTGTTGGTGCGAGTGGAAAAGAAACTGGTCGTTCGGGGTCACCTTCGTTTTCTAAAGCTGGGCCTCCCAAATTGGAACTTCAAATGGGTCGAAAGTAAACCCCATGAATTTATGGAGCCCATAGTGTTCAAAATTAATTAACTTGAATTTTGCAGTTTTGATTTGGTCTTTATCCCCACAAAAGCTATTATTTATTCCACATTTACACTGAAACAACCAAAAGAGCAATAAGAGAGCTGATTCTTTGTGGATTTTCTTTTTCATCACATTCTTTTGTGTTGGCAGATGGGCTGTTGAGAATCAGATTGGCAAAAAGAACTTGGTTATTGATGACTGTGATTCAAAACAATCTGTATATGTATACGGTTGCAAAGATTCTGTTTTACAAGTTAAAGGTATCATTTGTTTTAAATTTTTCATAGTGACAACTTCATTTAAGATGGTTCTGTTTTCAGATTGATATGATGCAGTTCTGTTGTTGGGATCTGTTCTTCGACACATACTTATCCTGTGTGTTTTATACGCAGGCAAAGTCAACAATATAACAGTTGACAAATGTACCAAGATGGGAGTTGTATTCACGGTATGTAACAAAAATAAAGTTGTGTACGTGTCATCCCTGAGATTGATTGCAGTGCAGGCTTCATTTCCATTATTTTGGTTACTTTATGCAGGATGTAGTGGCAGCTTGTGAGATTGTAAACTGCAATGGCGTTGAGGTGCAGTGCCAGGTGTATTTTCTTAGCCGAGCCTGCTAGGAATCTTTAGCATTCTAGTAGGGTCTATTTTTTGAGTTGTGAAAAATGTCTAACCATGAAAATCTAAGTTAGAATCAATGCAGCATCATTCATGGATGAAGAAGTTTTTTTGCTTTGAAGATCTGAAGCTTCCTGACTGTTATAGCTTTTTTTTTTTCCTGACTTCAAAGGGTATGGCACCAACAATTTCTGTGGACAATACAGCAGGCTGCCAATTGTATCTTAGCAAAGATGCTTTGGGGACTTCCATAACAACTGCCAAATCTAGTGAGATTAATGTATTGACCCCTGGTGCCAGCAGTGATGAGGACTGGGTAATTATCTTTGTTTTTATTTGATCTTTTGATAAAAGGTTCCATGTTTATGGTTTTGTAAAAATTCACAAGAGGAAACTTATTGGTGCCTTCGTGTATTTTGTACCTTATATTCCTACATCAAGTTTTAGGACAAGTAATTTTGATTGATCATGCTTATTAATCTGATGATAAGAATAGTGACGCACCTTTAATTGGTCACTATGCATGTTTAAACCATGGAACCATGTTTATCTGAATGCTTGTAGATGAATGAATAAATTCTTTTTGAACTTGGAGAATAGCCAACCTGAAAATGACTGCCCTGGAATGACCCAACTCATAAGAATTATATGACATCTGAATGGTATGCTGTAAATTAGAAGATTACATAGTCTTGAAATTTTTTAAAGATTTTCTTTATAAAATAGTTCCTTCAGGAATTTTCTTATGAGCAAGGAAAATTAAAGGAAAATAATAATGTAATAAATCAATCAGCCATCTAAGTTGGCTTTACTACCAGTTGAGAATTTCTTTTCTACAAAGTTTTAATCAGCAACTCTTAATGGCGAAAAGGTACATGAATAGATTATCTAACGATGTCTATTACAAAAATATGATGTAGTTATTGTTTTAAGAGTGTTTTATAATTTTAAAGAGCAGCATACCCATTTCGTATAGGCATTCGTTTGCATCCTTTAATGACCAAAGTACTTCTAGGGCTCGATCTTGTTATAGCAAGCAAGTACTTTACACCAGAGTTATCAGATTACCTTTGCTTTTGCCTCTTTGACCGAAGTGTTTGGATTTTACATCTACAGCTAAGCTACGCAAATCACTCCTTATATATTTTAATAAATTGGTATTAATCTAAAAAATGCCATCAATAATTCAAAATTTAGGAAAAGTTACGTCTACAATAGTAGGAAATTTGTAGAGCTACCACCTTCATGAAAATCAGAATTTGGAAAACACACATTACGTATATCAATATTCTTAAATATCCCAGAAATACATACTTTTTTAATTTTTCATTCTTCATTTAAAAGAAAAATTCAATTGAACACTTCCCTTGAATTGGCCGAAAAGCTGAAGCACTTCCCATCATTGCCTGAAGTGGAAGGCCAACCAAATTGAATCTTATAGCATTGCTTTACACATTGACTGTATTAAATATTATTCATTTTCTTTTCGTTTTTACTAGATGTGAATTCATACTTTGTATTTATGTTTCAAGTTGTGATAGGTTTTGCATATGATATGTCTTAAGGTCAAACTTTATCTTCTTGTTGCTTTTGTGGACTAGGTAAGATAATTCATTGAGTGGCTGATGAATTATTGGATCGAATGTATTGAAATGCTAATGCATTATGTGGATGAATATATGTTTGAATGGCTGAACTTTCCTTAAAAAAATAGATACTTGAGTGGCCCATATATGTTCGCAAACATGCAATTTAGTCTTATATAGGTGCAATTCTTGGAGACCAGACAAGACCGCCAGTTCAATTGGTTTGACAATTGGCCTATTAGCAGCCAAAACAAGCCTTAAAAACAAGAAAAGTCTGAGAGCCAGGTTCAATTCAGTGTATTGATCCGGCTCAGCCTTTGTTCCCTGGACATGAACATGGGTGTTTGGATATGATGCATATCTAACTGTTAGATGTGATGACCCAAACTTGATATACTCTAACTGTCAGATGTGATGACCCAAAATTGATATACGAGAAGACACATTTGTATGATTATAAATTTATAATAAAATAATATATTTTTAATGAATATATAATAGACAGGAATATATAATAAATAGTTCATACTTGTTTCACTTAGGCTTGGTTGATGCAGCTGTTGACCGTTTGAACTTTGCAGTTCGCACAAGACACCTTGGGTTCAAACGCCAACCTTGTGCTCCAAATACTATATAATTATCCCGTATCTGGAATTGTCAACACAAGATTCGGCCCCAAAAAACGGGGTTTGTGTGGTCTGTAGGGTTCATCTGTTGTTTTGTTTTCACCTTGAATTTTTTTTTTGACTTATCTGACCAGTGTTTGTACCAGTCTCAACTGAACCAGCCAACTATCTCTTTTGATAGCCACTGTGGTGTTTGTAACAATGTTTTAGTATTCCAATTCATTACATTCGAGCGTTTAAAGTCTTTCTCCATGTCCATCATGCTCGAGTTTAGGGAGCGTTGAAAGGCATTTGCGTTGAAGTGCATTTACATACATAATCACATAAAGTGTATCATGATCGTTGAACAATATTCACTTATTTTTCTTTATTTTTAATCTTAATTGAATTATTTGTATGCAAGTTGTTTTTCGTCCTTTGGTGCTCATGTGCTTCTCACATAGGGTTTTATTCTATTCATATCATAGTTGACTGTCTTCAATGATTTATCTAAATCTAGTTATATATCTTTTTGTGGACTTATCACTGGATACCATTTGCAACCCATTAGTATTAGGTCTATTCATATCATAATTGACTGTCTTCAATGATTTATCTAAATGTAGTTATCTATCTTTTTTTAATAGTCCCATATTGCCAGTTTAACTAAAGGGTGAGGTTTCTACAGCTTCCTATACAAATATAATTTGTGTTTGCGGACCAACAACCTTTTGATCTTACTTTTTATGAGCCAACAATAATGTCGTACATTAATTACAGTTTGAGAAAAAAATCTAGCGCTGTCGGTGACGTTATCAATTCATATGAGATGTTTGTTAGTCCATAAACAAATTATTATGTGTATGGGAATAGCAAGGTTTCCATTAGCTAAAAGGGCATCTATTTTCTATGTAACATTTTGAGTTAGCATCTAAAGTTAGATATGCATCTTTGTAGCAATAAGAAGAGGGTGTAACTGAGGTAATCCATCCCTTTTTTCTGGTATAGGTGGAGCATGCATTGCCGCAGCAATATATCCACACATTCAAGGATGGGCAATTCGTGACATCACCAGTTTCGCACTCTGGTGGTTAAGCTCTTGTGAGATGAGTACGCCTTTTCTACAGTTTCTCTCTCTACTGATTTGGTTTTGGCATGAAGAGTGAGAAACTCCGGTTTCCATTCCAAGCTTGCAATTTCATATCTATTATTGCATGCATCTGGGTTTGTTGCATTGCTTTCTCATGTTGTCTATGTTGGTTTTTGTGGTATTGTAATTCTTTTGGTAGACTAGTATTCAAAGTATTAGCTATCCGTAGGGCTTGTTTATTTGTTGAGTTTGTTCCTTCGGAGGAAATTGAAGTTTTGATTTGTTAGTAACTATGGGCATATATTTTATATTTGTTCCGAAACAATTGTTTGCTCTGTTTATTTAGCCAAAAACAAAAAGAAAATCACTTTGTATTTGGATTAATAAGCCATATACTTTTTAATAATCTGAGAATAAATGTTATTGTGTTGTATATTATGTTGCTCTTTCCTCAAGGAAGAAATAGGGCACCACTTGGACAGATTAATCTGGTTTATTTTATGGGATGCTAAATTTGATTTATTATGAAGTAATGTTTGGGTATGTCATAATTTTGATGTTTATCTAAAATTTGGTAGTTATTTGAGAGAGAGATTTCCAAGTTGTTTGAGAGAGCGAGAGAGAGATTTTGTATCATATGATCAATGAGGTCGTACTCGGTTGGTCCAAATCTCCACTGGAGACATTAGGGCCTAGAATTTACCCAATCTGGATCGAAACACGAATTTGGATCCTATTTGGATTTGGGTGTGGATCCAAAATTTATATCCAAATACTAATTTGGATCAGATCCAGGTATAGGTGGATCCGATGTGGATCCAACTTGATTTTTAAAATAATATATATTATTTTATAAAAATATATAATTATGTATTTATTAATTTATATATAATTATATATATAATTTTTTAAAATTTTAGAAGACCTAATCTGGATCTTATTTATATTTTTCCGGATGTTATTTATATTTTTGGATCCAGATTAGATTTGGATTCGGATCCAAACATTGGATTCGAATCTGGATCTCATGTATACTATTAGGATATGAATCCGGGTATCCGATAAATTTTCAGCTAGGGGACATGCTATAACATGTTTCCTAGTGGTGTGGTTTCTCTATCTTTGGAATCCGAAGCGTATCATACACTTAACTTTGGTTTGTACATGTTGCACTATCGGCCCTATGCCTCTTTTTTTTTTTTGATATATTAATGGTGGAACTGGACTATTCTTTTCCCCACTGTACTGGTGGTGTGCTTTACGTTCCACGCACTTGTGTATGGTGCACTTTTCCAATATGAAATGTGAAGGCAAGGTAGAGCGGACTTTTCCAATTTGAAATGTGTAGGCAAGGTAGAGCGGGGATGACAGCTTGTCACCTGCAAATCGACAAATATAATTTATATGTTTTTGGACCTACGGCAGTTTGATTACGAGTGATAAATTTGTGACATTATTATTGGTTTACTTTTAACGGTCTGATCAATAATAAAAAGCGGTGCCCAAAAAAAAATAGAGAAATTAGGTAAGACATAAAAATAGCTTGCCCATTATCACATCATCATAAAAAAAGGTGCACTATTTAAAATTTAACTTCTTGTTTTGTCCAAATTGTAAAAGTTTACGATGTCACAATGGGTTGCAAATTGTTTAAGGGGTAATTTTCAATTTTGCTCCTCCAGTAGAAGGAAAATAGTTTTTGGGGACGTGAGATATTGGTCTATTGAAGTACCAGTATTTCACTTTAAACATCTCATAAGACACTGGCATTTTAAAGCAATTGAATATTACCGAAAATATTATTTGAGATACCAAATCTCACTTTAAATACCCTTTTGAGTTATTAGGATTTTTGAATACTAATTTCTAACCATAAAAGTTATCCTTAGATATTGGTGTTTTCGAATATCATTTTCTTACTCACTCATGGATATAGGCAATTTCGAAAATCAATACGTGAGATATTGGTACTTGCGTTCTTTAATATTGGTATGTTTGAAAAGGAAAAAGTTTATATAAGAGCGAGGCTCTAAACAATCAATTTGGGCGCACCTCAAAAATCCACTAAAAGAGTTATTGAAGCCTAAAAATCTTCAAATTGTTCATATTGATCTCAAGATGTATGGACATGAGAAAAAAAATGGATTTCAAGTATTAGAAATAGTGCATCTTTTTCAAGATTTTGAAGCGTTAATATATTATTCGATCTACACTAAGTTTTAAATTTTATAATTAGAGATGAAGATAAATTTTCAAGCCATCACAAAGATTTCAAGTAGTGAAATATCTTTCTACACTGTTGGAAGGTGGATTTTACCTTGATTGTTTAGAGCCTTGGCCCTAAACAAATCACACCCATTTGAAAATACCATGTATCAATATTCAAAAATACCAATATTTTTAGACAGTCGGGTTTTTTGCCTAAAACTGATCTGGTTTTTTGTGCACGTTTGGTAACTAGGCTGATCTGGTATTGTTAGTGCACGTTTGGTAACTGGGAGTTGTGGATTGTTTGGAATTTGGAAGTTCTAGCTCCTTGGGAGTTGTAACTTTTGATGCTTGGAAGTTTTGAAATACTTGTTTGATAACCTGTCTAGTAGTTCTCGAAAATATAGTTCAGGCTTCGCAGGGATCTAAAACAGCTTCATAGAAAGAGAGGGTTAATGCCGGAGAAGAGAGGACTTACACAGAAAGGACATGGTTGGAGAGTGAGAAGATTCATTTAAAGAGAGAGAGGAGTCGAAGAGAGAGCGCTTGGTCATAGAGAAAGAAAAAGTGCACGATTAGAAAAAAAGTATTTAGAGATAGATAGGGCATATTTTAGAGAGAAAATGAAGTTATGTGTTCTTATAGTCTTATTAACAAAACTTCAGATAGCATTTCTTATTAAAAAACAAAGAGGTGGTATAATGAATTGGCCAGTTTTGCGGTTGGATGTTTCAATTATTAAACGTGCATGTAATGACAAATATAGATATATGATGGTTAAAAAAGGGCCAAAAAACAAAAACCTCAGAGTCATAGGGTGGCAATGGACCTGAACTGACCCAGGACCCCCCTGATAGGTATAGATTTAGGTCCAATTTTTGGACTTGACGGGTTGGGTCTCGGTTCAAAACTTGGACCCCAATACTATTCGGGTTTGGGTCCAGTCAGACCTGGCCCGTACCTAACCCGTTGCCACCCCTAAGTGGTGTCTAATTATCAAAACACCCTTATTTATTCAGGATATTTTTAAGTAAATAATTGCTGAGGAAATTGGTCTAGAAATTTTCTGCAAAAAATTATCAATTTTGTTTTAATTTTTTTCTTTTTTTACATATTAATAATTTTCATTTTGGGGACTATATATTCCTAAGAAATTGGGTTTGAGAACTATCACAAAAATGGATTATATAGAAGGGACGCATTTCTACAAACGAGTCAGTGGACTCATAAAAACCGTGTCGTTACATATATCGACTATGGACTGGTCCTTCCTACCATTTTCCATTACATTCTCTTATGGTTATCAAGCACATTTGACACAAAGGCGCTTGAGGGCCGCAAGTTTCCATTTGAGTTCGGTTTGCTCTTCATGCATTTTTTAGACCGCACGGTAATTTTTGCTCAATAAAATGGGAAAAATGGTTCCAAATCAGGCAAACTAATGTGACGGGGTGTTTTGAGTTTTTCAATAGGGTGAAGTTTATACAAGGTGCCTTCATACTGTAGAAGTAAGGCGCACCTTTAAGCTTAGTATTTTTTAATTTTAAATTAAAAAACTAAGTCATTAATCTCCATTGTACGTAATGATTGTTAAGTGGGTCATTAATTTCCATTGTAGTTAATGAATGTTTAGTGATTCATTCTTTTGATTAGACGTGACTTCGAACAAGAATGTGGATGTTAGCAGTGGGAAGGCCCCTCCATTTTTTTTTTTGGGAAAATCACGCTTAACAGCCACATTTATTTATTTTTTTGGATTGGAACTTAGAAACTATATAACCAGCTAACAAAACACTTATTCTACTTACTGGAATTCTCTGTAATTGCATTTTTCTCCTAAAGAATTAGAGTTGAGAATTTTTCGGATCGGGCCCGGATCCACCAAGATTTGGATCCGAAAATTATGCATGGGATCCGGATCCAAAAACAATATATGGAATACAGATTAGATCTTCTAAAAGTTTAAAATTAAATATATTATATATGTAAACTAATAAATATATTATATATAAACTAATAAATATATAACTATATATAAAATAATATATATTATTTTAAAAATTGAGTCGGATCTGGATAGGATCCACTTGTACCTGGATCTGATCAAAATTACTATTCAGATCTAGCTTTTTGATCCGGATCCAAATTTTGGATCCATACCTGGATCCAAAATTCTGTTTCAGATCTGGATTGGGTAAATTCTCAGCCCGCTATAAAAATCACGCAAAATAACTGTTAACAGCCACATCTCTCTCTTTGGTTGAGCATTTAAGACTATGTAAAAGGCTAGGAAGCACTCAATTCTACTCAATGGAATTCTTTCTCTTATCTTTTTCAATTACATTTCTCTCTTGAACAATGAGGTTATTATTTACGCCTCTTATTGTTTACTCATCTTGTACACTGGTGCACTTTTTGAATTATTCTCTTCCCCTCAGAAATTGAGGTTGTTATTTTGCTTCTTATTATTGTATTGTTTTAATACACTAAACAAGTTAAGACTGGTTTTCTCTTTTTTATTGTTTTCAAATACACATTTGTGAGAAATCCTCTGCACTGATATTCATGTCAAATAGGGTAAACGAATGCGACTACAGGGGACAAATACTACCCTTGGTATAGGGACACATGATACTGATCTTTGTATCATATAGGTGACGAATACTACCCTTAGAAAGCGCGAGGTCACAGCTAGTCCTAGCTATCAAATGTCAAATTAGATAGCTTAAAGTATGCCACAGAGTTCAGAAAACATTTCTTTGAACTTTTAAGCCTAATCAATTGCAAACTCTCAGCCTTTTGATTTAAAATCAAACAGCCAGAAAGGACTATAGCCCCTTAAAGAAAAGATAAATGGTCTTATTATATAATGAAAATATATACAGTAAAACCATTTACTTTGGGTAAAAGGAGAAGGTTGTAGACTCACTCTTTAGTTGGTACTTTTAAAATTGTGTGTTCGGGGGTATGCTTTGATTGCGCTCAAAGTCCCAAAAAATAATTATCAAACTTTATAAAAAAACTCAAGCTCTCATATTTCACATTTCATGACTATCACATTTGATGGCTAAGAGTAGTTGAGACCTTCTTGTACCAAATTTAAATTGTCTTACATGGAAATGTAAATTGTCTTGCATTTAGCGAATATAGTTTTTCCATTTCTGCTCGCTTCTGATTTGTTTAGGGGTGCAATGGGTTGGTTTGGGTTTGGATCCATGTAAAAAAAAT